ATAATAATAATAATAATAATAATAATAATAATAATAATAATAATAATAATAATAATAATAATAATAATAATAGATTAATCATAATCATAATATTAATATTAATAAAAATTTATTGTATTAAAAAATATATAACACAAATTACACAAATAACCTTAATCACTTTGTTTGGAAAATAAAAATAAAGGGTAAAATTGACTTTGCACCATTTGGTGCAAAATGGTGCAAAGTGAATAGTGTTGCACCAAAATGGTGCAGAGTTTGGTGCTACATTGGAGACATTTTGCACCATTTTTTATTTTTGGTGTTTTGGTGTCTCCTTTGGAGTTGCCCTAAGGTTTCTACGTCAGAAAAGGAGATTTTGCTTTATCATCAATTGAAAGCAGTTGTCCTAAGGTTTCTATGTCAGAAAAGGAGATTTTGCTTTATCATCAATTGAAAGCAGTTGTCCTAAGGTTTCTATGTCAGAAAATGAGATTTTGCTTTAACATCAATTGAAAGCATTCACTATTTGTCAAATAGAAGTGAATCGAAATTGGAGTTTTTCAGTGTATGGACTATAAATACACTAGCTAGGATCACTTGGCATGTCCTTTCAGAGTGTTATGACAACTGGATTTCAAATCTTTCAGTCTTGGTTCTCTATATTCTAAATCTGAATATATCTTTGTACAGACAATCTTCTTCGTTTGGTTTGCTCTGTCAGGATGGCTATTCCGTGTTCTGATATTCGCCATGTGTGTACTTCCATTTGCTGGTCCTCTTCTAATTGGGGCTGTGGCCAACAATCTTGTTATTAAGGTAACATTGTTAGATGTTCTCATCCTCTTTTGACTTTCTTAACCTTATTTTTATTGAATGAATTTGTCTGGAAGTGCATTGGGGATAAATTATCCTGGATATGGCATGTCTGCCCAGGATTATAATAAATTGCTGAAGATCCGCATGCTAAAAAGTATGACATTTCTGACTGACCAACTTTATTTTGAGTATATCCTCTCAATTTTTAGTTGCTCGTCGATGTCTAAGTTTTTGTCATTCTTCCTGTACAGTTTTCATAATGAAGTTCGGTTATCTAGCTGTTGCAGATTTTTCTCTATGAAAGATTCTTAAGCATGACATTTAGGCTATGTTTGGCTCTTGTTCATAAAACACTCAAGCCACTTTTTATCCTCACATTTAGAGAGATCCATGGGTACTACCCACATATCAACTACTTTATTCTCTCGATTTATAATATGAATCATTTATAAGCACTTCCCATGCCCGTAATTTTGAAAAATCGGCAAAAAAGATAAAGAAATCTGTATACTATTTTTCACAGTTTTTAGGTGTAAAGGGCCCGTTTTTAACTGCATTCACTCTTTTCAGCCTTGGACATGTTTGACAATTGGATTGTTATAATAAAAAAATATCTTTATTGGCTATTTCTTGTTCATGTTACAGTTTGTTGCGCTTGGTTGTCTATTATTGAGTTCATGACTTGTCTAGCACAACTTAATCAAGCAAGAAGTCATCATAAATATTCCAACCATATATATTATCCTGCTACATTTGTTTTGATACCAAACCACCAATTGAATTCCATACCAATTGATTTTAAACTATAGAAAAAATAATTGTATTTAAATGAACAGTGAAGACATATTAGCCTGGGATGGATCTTATAATTTAACATCTGAGTGAAGCTCAGGTTTTTTATCACTTGCAAATGCCAATAAGGTGGCAAGAGGTCCTATTTCTGTAGAAACCCCTGGTGGCCTTCTCTGGATAATAATTTTACTCTACTACTGCAGCAGAAGTTGATATAAATTTAAATTGGTTCTATCCTTTCATTTACCTTCGTCATTCCTTCCTGTTTTATTTATTTATTTTTTGGATCTGATTCCTACTTAGATCCCTAATCATGGAAATGGTGCCATAGTAATTAGTATGAGCATGTATGATTCACGTGTGTATTAATTTATCTGAGCAGGGAGAATGCCCGGCGTGTAGGAGGCAGTTTGTTGGATACAAGAGCCAAACTGTTTGTTGTGCAAGTTGTGGAAACATTGTATGGCAGCCAAAAGGTGACTTCTTTTCAAAAGGCAGCCGAGGTACCACTTCCTCTACAAAATATAGTGAACCAGACGTCATTGATGTTGATTTTGAAGAGAAATAAATAAAGATCACCAGATGGCTATCGCTGCCCTATACATGCAGTATTCATAGGCAATGATGTAATACTAAAACAGGATATAATACATTTTTTTTTCACATCACAAATTCAGTTCTTATCCAGTTATGTATCCTATGTATCATAGGGGGGATATTTGAGAAATGAAAGTAACGTCACTTTTGTTGTACAAAGTTTTCATCATGAGCAATTGTGGAATATTTTTCTTTGTTTTGGATGCTCCATCGCAATTTTATATAATTAAGGTTCTCTTGCACAGTAGATCTCAAATTGATTTCCAACCTGGGATCTTGGATTTATCAAACTATGGTGCTAGAGTGGAAGTGATAATCCTTGTTCCTTTCTTGCCAATAGGGGCTGTGTATCTCAAAGAGATTAAAAATTGTCGATATCCAGATTCTCGCTTGCATCGTGTCTTCAAATAGCAGCTGAATGACACCATTGTTTGTCTTTAGACTGAGAAAAGAGTATTCCTGATGTTCCCCAGTCTCCAAAATGCTGACAACCTTGTCTGCGAAAGAGGAATGATGTAAGTATTAACTTCCTTTGCTACTTCCTTTGCTCTCTGTGTTTGTTATTTTTAGTATCTTTCTGAAAGATCAGGGGGACAAGAAAGAGAACCCAAAAAGATGTAGATACATATATTTGATCAACAAGTGAATGGATAAGAAAGAATGAGACATACATTCCTTGGATGATGTTAGAGCTCCTCTGAAGTATTTCTTTCTGAAGCTCATTGTAAGATGTTTCTGCTTCATATAGACATTGACCCTCCTGCATTCTTTTCGTCCTGCATGCAGAGTTTTGTGTTTGTTTATCCATTAACATCACATGCATGTATGCAACTAATGTAATTGCATGAATCATGCTTCTGCTTGGTTATCTTATTCGTAGTATGCAGAAAAGGTTTGGAATATAGTCAAATTTCCCACCTGATGGCATGATTATGCATATTTGAGCATCCATTCTTAGCATCTCCTGGGTGCTCGCTGGGGAGTTCGACATGGTTCTCGATCTTAGAATTGCAGCTCCTCTTAGACCTGTTGTAGCATAAAATTGATGAGGAATTAAAGGTCTTTATGTTTTGAATAACCGTTTTGGTACACTATACTAGATGGTACAATAGATTTTTTTATTTTTATTTTTATTTTTTTCATTAGAAGGGAAGTAAAGATGGAAATATGTAAACAAACGTACATGTTGCTGCTGTTGCTGTTACTGCAATCATATCGATTGGAGCTTGGATGGCCATGCCGGAATTAACTGCTGCTCGAACTTGGGCTCTTTGTGCACCCAATGATTCTGCTGCTTCAGCAAATGCTGTGGTTATCAAAGCTGCAGCTGAAGCTACTACTTCACCCATATCCTGACCAGATGCCCCAAGCATGCCTTTGTGGACTTGACTGAAATCCTGTTTTCCTCTGCTTATTTCAGCAATGGCTGCAGCAAGCTGTGTGAGTGAAAGTGCAGCATGTAATTGGGATGTTCTAAGTCGGGTTTCCTCTTTCTTCTTCTCTTTACGTGATCTTAAGAAGCTTTTCAATGATTTCCCTTTCAGCCAAGTCTTTATGTGATTGAATTCCATGGAACAACACAATTCAATGTACGGATTGATAAACCAGAAAGGTGTTAGGATCTTGAAGACAAAGATTACTTGAATGGCAGAATATCGTGAGTATTTTTAAGTGCTTGTAAGTTGTGAATTTTACAGAATATGTGAATAATAAATGGATAGTGAATCGTGTCTTACGAAATACGTGGATAAAAAGTATGTTTGATCAGCTTAAAATATAATTTAAGTTTTGCCGAACACGCTCTAAGATAAAGAAGATCCGTCCACGTCTAGTACTATTTACCAAGCATGTTGAATGATTAATATGATTTCTTTGCTCAGAGTTTGCTTAAGATATTGATGATTACCCGAATGTTGTCCTCCTTGATTGTAGCTCTGTACATTCCGGGGATGCTATTCATCGTGTCATCTTCGTGCTCTTGATCTTCTTCTACTTTGTTTATGTCACTGGGTGCTAAGATATTCTGCACATTTGGGTGTGAGGAGGCTCAACGGATGCATTGATGTCTTATAAATGATGACTAGTTATGCCCTTCAGTGGTCAATTTAACGAAAAACGAGGGAAAATGGAAAATAGTTATGAAATATATAACTAAGTTCTAAGTTAGGTGCACATGGTGGTCTCTACTAAAGGTTCAACGTGCTCATGTAACATGTACGGTACTTGTAATTAAATTTGGGCTTTTGAGATTCCTAGGATAAATCTTGGACACATTCTACAAAGGTAACAAATGACCATCAATTTTTTTTATTTTTTTTAAACGAATCTATGACGGTTAGTTTTAACTTTTAGGGTGTGTTTGTCTCCCATTATTGGGAGAAAAATAGAGTAATGAATAGTATTTTTTTGGAGAATGTGTGATTGAAAAATAAAATAGCTTTATTGATTTGTGTGTTGTTTTTATTAAGTGAATCTGTGATGGAAAATCTTAATGTAGAAAACTATTTTTTGGAATAATGGTAGACAAACAGGGAACACAATTTACATCGACTAGAGTTAAAGTGGTAGTTGATCACTATTAGTTTGTCATGTATAAACAGTGTCTCACTCTGGATGAAAATATATTTAGGAAATCAGAGGCAGAAGCGCTCCATGATCTACACAAGAACTCCATAGCATTATTTGGGCTCTTTGGGATCTCCAGTTGCTTGTGAGAGCAGAAACCTTTTTCCTTGCAACCAAGTCCCTGTGATTTCTGTACACAAACATTCTCTGATTCAAAATCTCATAGAAAAGCACACTTTTAAATGGAAGGCTATTTATTATTCAACCTGCCTATTGCAATAATCAAGTAAAATATACAGCATTAAACTCACTATATATGAAACACCCTCTATTTTCAGCTCTTCTTGTTGTATCTCCATGTGATTGGTTCCCATCTTCATTACCTGAAAACAGAAGGACAATACAGTACAAGTGGTGGGTTGTGTTCGAAAAAGCGAGTTGGGGAAAAAAAAATAGAAAGAGTAGAGAAAAACTCAAATATAACGTGGTTCAGCAAACTTACCTACGTAGAAGTTACGGGAGAGGGATAATCAATTCAATAAAGGGTGGGGGTAAAGGAGTTTCTTGAAAAGGAAAGGTGATTGTTATGAAAATTTGAATGAATGAAAATAGGAAGAAACTGTTAACAACTTACCCCGGAAACTCAAAATAAGATTCTTTCTCTACGAAAACATTCTATAAATGGAAGGCACTTGAAAAGTACATGGAATTTTTATGGGGAATAACATTATTTCAATTCAAGAAATGTAGGAAGATATAGAAACATGTGAAGGGATTATAGTAATACATTACTTTTTTTACTTTTCTGAGAAGTACTCGTCCTGATGAGGAAACAATGTGATAAAAAGAAGTCAAATATATTCATTTAGATTGTACAGTATTGTTTTTAATATCATGCTTTACTTTGAGAGCGTTAAAATTGTTTAAAACAACCTTTCTGAACGAGGACATGACGCAACAAATAAAGTGTTGTCTAATACTGTCTACCTAACATGACCACATGATATATGTATTTCTCTAGAAGTGCGATTCTTATATCTGAAACAACTGTTTCCCGAGATAGAGCCTCCCTCAGAAGTAGAGAAGTCAATATAGGTTTCTGTGAACTTCCTAGGACCACCATTTGGATTGACAATGCAGAAATTTGGGAATCCAAAGAAGCATGTTATAGTTTTCTTGCATCCAATCTTCGGTACATTACATGATCAATTAGGCCACTTGTATGAAAATTTTCAATGCTGGGATCTGTGCAGCCAAGGTGGAGGGTTGATAGATGAGTCAGACGCCTTCACGTGGCTTTGACGTGTGTAAAAGCGGTACGATGTTTTTGATTGGACAAACTATGACAACGTTATAAGAGTCTACTTTGATAGTGTAAAATTATAAAATATGAAAAGTCATCAGTTTTACACAAATGAAGTGTTAGAGAACTTTCTGTTGCATTCAGAATTTGGAAATTGAATTCTAGTGAGGAAGATGCCAAAAGAAGAAGAAGAAGAAGGAGAAGGAGAAGAAGAAGAAGAAGGAGAATCCATGAAATAATGAGAGCGGGCTATGAATTGTTAGACTAGGTGAAACTTAATCGTATTATACATTTTTCTCTCGATTACTATTTTCAATTTTATCCCATAGTCCCCCCATTGATTGATTATCAATCTATTTTTATTTTAATTAGATATGGCTCTAATTCAAAGCACACACAATTATATCTACGAAAATAAACAAGCAAATTCCTGAAATTAATTCAATCACAAAAGGCACTAGGATCTCAAATCAACCATTATTAACCTACTTTAATTCTTAATTACTCAGTTTTGATAATTCGTATTTTTGTTGACAATCGAATAACTTGTGTATTAATTTTCTCTCTTTAAGATAATTAAATCAATTCTTATATACTACCCGACTATGTCTCTATGAAGGATGCCAATGTAGAAAAACGAAATATAAAGCTAGAATATCAATAAAGATTGCATCAAACATAGAAGTATCTCTCTCTCCCATAGAAGTATCATGTGCTAATTTATATCTACTTTCAAAAGGAATATTGTTGACCCAAAAAATAGAAGTTATTTTTTAAAGCCAGCTTTCCTGTTAGTGATGGCAAAAAAATCTGTCCCACCCCGCCGATGCCCCGTCCCGTGAAGAATAAAAAAATAAAAAAAAATTTGGATATTGTTTGTTTCGAGTGCTTGTTTTGAATATTGATGTAGTTAGTTGCTTTGGATTTTAAAATTTTGAATTTGTATTTTAACTGGAATTTTTTGAAAAAAAAAAAGGGGCAGGAAACAGGGCAGGGGTGCCCCGCCCAAAACCCACCCCGGTGCCATCTCTATTTCTTGTCTGAATTTTGGTGGGGGTTTGCCCCTTTTTAGGATTTTTTGAGTGTTTTAGGGGGAGCTTTTTGTTTGAAGGAAGAAAAAGCAAGTTTTCGATGGATTTTCAATTGAAGAGGACACCTACTGATATTTTTCCAAGAGTTTGACCCTAATTTTTCCTTAATCCAAGGCCGATTTTTAGATTGGAATATCTGTTTGAGATTTTTCTTCCTTTAGCATTTTAGCCATTTGTTTTTTCAATCATTTTCTTGTTGTGTTAATGTCCCTTTTTATATACGATTTTTAGGAACTTTTTAGTTATTTTTGTGCATTGAAACACTCATCATTATACTATAAGTCATGATTAAATCCAAGTTTCAATTTTTTGGTTGAGTCGTGCTTTGCCATGTGTCATGCAATATGTTATGTACGCGTTTGCATGGATGATCACGTTGATTTGATTGTGTGGCATAGTCAAGTATTTATTCCAAGTGGTAGGATCAAGCAGGGACGGAGCCAGCCCATTGAAGTAGGGGGGTCCTAGAGTTGAAGGGGTGGGGGTCTACGGGGGTTCTGCCCCCGAAATTTTTTTTTTGAATGGGAGTTGTTGAATCTATATTTGAATAACTCGACTTTTTATATCAAAACAATTTATTTTAGTTGAACAACAAAGCCGAAGCTGGACACCTACATTTGAAAAAAATTGTCAAAAATACAAAAAATCAAGGATTCAGTCTTGGACACCTACATTTGAAGCAATCTGGAGCTAAAAATAATCACATACATAGAACAAATCAAGGATTCAGTAAATACAAAAAATTAAAATTAAAAAAAAAATTTTGTCAAAAATTGGGTGGGGGGGGGGGGGGG